GCCCCCCCCCCCCCCCCCCCCCCCCACACACACACCCACACACACACTCACACACTCACACACTCAAAGCCACGGTGCACATAGCACTACATGAACATCCAAAAAGTTATTTCTGAAATCTTTGCTAAAAAAATCATTTTCTTTCACTTGTCCCTTCTTTCTCTGAGGCACTGGTGATGCGTCCTCATAGGTGCCCCCCTGGGAAGATCACGTCACCAGTGCCTTCCAGGGCAATCTCGCCAGTAGTCATGACTGCGCTGTATGAGATCTAGGGTGGTCTGTTTTTGAAAGAGAACCGTACGTGATGTGACGCATGCGGCATACGTGATTTGGGGGTGGCATGTTCTTCAGTTGTAGGATAATGACCCGAGCCAAATCTTGTATGACGCATGCGCCCTATGTGATTTGTGGAAGCGTATTATTGAAGAGTAAGGAGCCGTGCCAAATCATGTACAGCGCATGCATCCTGCGAGATGTGAGGCTGCCTGTTATTAAAGCATAACAAGCCTGCGCCAGATCTTCGGTGCATGTGCTGTACAAGAACTGTACCGGATCTCGCATGAGATATAGGACAGTTTGTTATTAACAGATAAGAAGCCGTGCCGGATCTTGTTTGGCGCATGTGCTGTACAAGAGCCTGCACATGCGATGTACGTGATTTGGGGTTATTCAGTTAAAGTATAACAAGCCAAACAAGACCTCATACGGTGCATGTGCCATACATGATTTGGGACAATAAGAAACTGCGGCGGATCATGTACAGTGCATGCATCAGATCTCGTATGACATATGGGGCAGCTTGTTATTAAAGGATAAGAAGCTGCGGCGGATCATGTACGGTGCATGCACCAGATCTCGTATGACTCGTATTAGATATGGGGCAGAATCCAATGAGAAGGCTTTTTATTGGTATTCCATTATAATATTGGCGTGGCCTCCGGGTCAGATGACACGCGGAGCGCTCACCTCTGCCGATGATGAACTATTTTTCTAATAATATTAGGAAGTGACAGTAGAAAAAACAATACAAACAAAACACTAAAACAATGGCAATGCTGCAAAATCCACAGCTGCATGTTGTGCTGTGCTGTGCTGTGTATCCAGCAGGTGGCGGTGTCGCTCCCTCTTACAGGAGTAAGGCAACATCGGCCCTTCAGCTGTAGTGAAACTACAAGCCCCATGAGGCATTGCAAGACTCTGACAGCCACAGTCATGACTCCCAGAGGCAGAGGCATCACCCTTGCAGTAAGCGCTCCTATTGGACGGTTGTCGTGCAATGTGATTCATAATCTGGAGAGTCACTATTGTAACATTTGCTCGCCGTGCTTGTTACAGCTGAACTCCAATCTGAGATATGCCGCAGCTAACGAGTC